CCAGCAACCTTCACTCAACTCCTCCTCAGCTTCCCATTCCCACAAGCACAGCCTCCACGTCCCTGTACTAATTTCTAGCATCTGCACTTTGGATATTTGATGAAAATGAAAAAGAAATGAAAAAAAATGAAAAGGAATGAAAAAGAAAGACCTCATTTTATCGCTGATTTCTACTTCCAATAGAAACATCTTGCTGGAGGGAAAAAAGGAAATAAAGATTAAAACAAGTGTGGGGCACTCTCAGCAGTGTAAGTGTCTGAAGGCATAAGCCTTCATCTGATGAAGCTGAGCAGGAGTCAGTACTTCCTGGGAAATTCTGAATGTGTATCCAGAAGCTGAGCACTTGTGTATGTTACACCTCTTTGCAGTAAGTCCCTAGGGCTAAATTTTAAAACAGGCTGTTCTAGAGCAGCCCACTCCTGTCTTCTGACCTTTAAGTTCACCTGCTTTGGGCACTTGTGTGAAGCAAAAGGAAAGATCTGGGCTCTGGGAAGCTCACCCTATGCTTTGGTGTCAGGGAACAATTTCCTCTTTCTTTTTTTATTATTTATATATTAATTGGTACATTTTAGGTATACAGTACAGTTACATTTATCATTGGGTGTTTGTACCTGAACATGATGTATCTTAGTTCTTATTTTTTCCCCCATTACCTATGCGCACTTCACCCCCACTACCCTTCCCTAACCTCTTTCTTTTTGAGAACTCGACTGAGTCAAATATAAGTTTTTCAAAGAAAAATTTCCTCTTCCTGTCACTTCAGTGGTAATCTAATCGTAATAAATTATTCCTTGTGCTATGTGGCCATAAATCTTGGGAACAACGTAAGACATGCACTCTATGTCAAGCATTTTCCCAGACCCTGTACGTGATTTCCTTCTTTAAGCCTTGTCCCATTTGTACAGATAAGAAAACTGAGCCTCAGGTGAGATGTACATGGTAAGTCATAGAGCTCCTCCTGTGTGGCCAAACAAGGGTGTGTGTCAGGGTCCATGTGGCCCCTGGGCTGTTCTGTTACCCCACACCCTGAGCAACAGTGGTGGCCTGTGATCTGTCAGTGTGAGACAGAAGCTATCCCTCCCTTCCTGAAGCCCTCCCTTGTAACTCAGCAAATAGAAGGCTCAAATTGCTCAAAGCTGTTGCTCAAATTGTCAACAGCTTGTTCATGGATGATTTTTAAACAGCATATTTCCCAACCTAAGCTTAGAGGAATTAAGTAGTTTATCCCAAATGCCATAGTTAGTAAAATCCTAAATCTCGGAAGATTAAGACCAATCCTTGCTAACACTTCAAGCCTGTGGGTTGGATGGCTCTGTGACAATTCAGGGAAAATAATCTGTACTTTGTGTGCTGCTTGGAGAAACGGTTGTTTTAAAATCACAACAGTATTGATGGTTTCACTTAAATGTGGAATCTAAAACAGTTGATCTCATAGAACTAGAGACTACAATAGTGGTTGCCAAGGCTGGGGCAAGGGGGGTAGGGGTCAGCACACAGTTACAGTTAGATAGGGCAACAAGTTCTGGTATCCTGGTGCACAGTAGGGTAAAAGTACATTGTATACTTGAAAATAGCTAGAAGAGAGAATTAGAACTGTTTCTCCACAAAGAAATGGCAAATGCCTGAGGTGATGAATATGCTGATGACCCTGATATCATTATAGCATTATAAATATATTGAAACACCACATTGTACAGTTATTATGTGTCAGTTAAGAGTAAAATAAAATGTAAAATTATAATATGGTACAGAATGTAAGAGACAAGAAATTTTTATTAATTATACCCATCCTGGGCCTTTCCACCCTAAAATATAATATGCCTTTTTGTTTGTTTTTGACACAGGCTCTCACTGTGTAGTTCAGGCTGGCCTCAAACTCATGGCAATCCTCCTTCCTTAGCCTCCCAAATGCTGAGATTACAGGCATGCATGTCCAGCCAATAATGTGCTTTTATTTTGTTCATCTCCTTTTAATAGCGGCCCATATTTATGCACATATTTTATATAAATATAATCTAGGCAAAGACACAATGGCATTTCCTGGCAGTGACTTCATTTATCACAGTGGCATTTTTCAGTGCTGTTATATTTTCTTCATAATGTACGTTGTATTGATGAATTAGGGTTTTCTTAGCCTTTGGTTCATTTCTAAGTTTTGCTCTCATCCCCATCTCTGCCCACCACCCTCCTGGCCTGTGATTTAACACTAATTCCTGGTTATGTTACAGGTAGCTGAAATTGATCCTAGATAAAATGAGACCAAAGCCATAAAATAGTGGTTTGGACTTTTTAAATTAAGTCACTTTAGGGGAATGCCTTTCTTCCTTTCAAAACATGGAATCCCCTCTCTTTTATGCTGCTGTGAGTTTTTCCAAGCAGTAAGACATGACTGCTTAGCACACCTTCTGCTGCTGTTTACGTTAGACAGTCAGCTGCCACTGTGCTCTGGTAACAGAGCTGTGCTAACTGGTGTCCCGATTAATGGAAAAAGCAGTTTACTCTGGTTGCCTGGACTACATCTCCACTGTGTGCTTTGTGTATTAGGTCTGGGCTGACAGCACTTAAATCAGCCAGGTAAAGGCAAACATTAACCCTTGCTTCAGAGCTTGTTCTTATTTTTTTAAGTAAATTAACTGGGGCAGAAGCAATAGGATGTGCTGAATCTAAATCTCCTAATGAATTGTGGGTCATACAGGTGTATTTTCTGCACAAGTAGGTAGACAGGGTATTGAGGTCCAGAGCATCATGGAGAATCAGGGTTTCTCCTCAGCTTATCTTCAACTGGCTGGTAGACTCAAGGTCTTCTTCTGATTCCTTCTCCCCTGCCCTTGTTTTAAGAGTCTCTAGCAGGTGTCATCTAATGATTTTGTCTTTAGCACTCAAAAAATTGCCAATTACCTAAACACTATGCAAGGAATCCAGGAAGATAAAAGAACTAGAGGGCTGGTTTCTGCCCTTGGGAGTTGTAATCTAATGGGGAGGAGGAAAGTTTGAAAGGTAACACTTCACATAGTACAAGAGTCCCATGGGGCAGGTGAAAGCTTAGGGGAGCAAAGCTTCCAGTGAATGGAGAGGCAGGAGGAGTTTCATGAAATACATATGTTGAGGTAGGCTTTCAAGTTTGGATTCACTGACTCATTCAACAACAATTTATTGAGCTGAGAAGGCAGTAAGGTACAAGGGCCTGCTTTCCTAAACTTTTCATTCTAGTCTTGGGGGAGGCAGACAGTAAATGAGATCATTTTAGGGAGTAAGCCTGTGGTGGCAAACCTATGGCATGCATGCCACAGCCAGCTGTTTGTTATCATTGAAAGCTCTAAAAAGTTCACCATCACTGAAGTAGGCAAAGCAGCTAATACATCAGGAGAAAGTTTTCTGGCCCTAAGGAACAGCAAGTATGGAGATTCTGAGGCAGCAGGAGCCAGAGACTGGGGATTACAGAGAAGGCCTTACCTTCCAGGTCTTTGTTCCAGCATCTTCTCACCAGGGGCCTTTCAGCCCCCAAACCCACTTTATTTTTCACATTGGTATTTATGACTTTGAATTTTATATTAATTTGGGGGTTTTTTTTGTTTGCTATCCTCAACTACAGTATAAACTCCACAAGATTTGGGACTTTGTTTCATTTATTGTTGTATCCCTGGATACCACACAGACACACAGTAAATGCTTAATAAATGCTGCACAAATTATCCATGTGTTTGAGCATAGAGAGAAGGGAAGAAGGGATACTGGTTTGAGAGAAGGGCCACAACAGAGAGGAGGGTAGGCCAGGCAATTAGGAGGGAATGGGAAAAGTCTCTTTGAGATGGTAGAAAGACCAGATGCTCAGGGTTGGAAGGTGTCATCTAGGAAGCAAACCAAAGGGTCCTGAGGAAGTCGGGAAGAACATTAGCCTTTACTCACCTCCTATATCAATATTTCTTCATTTTGTTGGTCTTCCTGCATTTGTTAAGGATTTACAGTGTTCTGAAGCCCACTGGCACTGAGGCAGATCAGGACATAGCAGGCTGTCTGGAAAATAGGCTATAACTTGAGCCAGAAGAAAGGTTGAACACCAGGATGTGACCTGACAATAATGGCTGGGATTTGTGGGAAGAGCAATTTCCAACAGATCCAATATGAGAGGGTATAAAAGATGGCATCCACTGACTTCACTGCCACTGTGATCTTCCTATTCTGCTGTCTTCCTATTTCTACAATAGCCCATCCTGCATGCAGGACACATCTGTGCTTGCTCTTCATTTTTTTTCACTCTTTCCTTTTCTTCTTTTGCTTTAAGATAAAAGTTGCATTTACCTGTTCTTTGGTTGTCCTGGCCAAATCTTTGAGTGGGACAAAAAGAGCCTGGAACCATCAAATACCATGCCATCTGGCAATAGTACCAGAGAGACAAAGGAACAATAAGGTACAGTGTAGTATTTAATTTTAGAAAGAATAGTGGTTCATCTTCAATATTTGAAAGAAGAAAGCTGGGCATGTAGCTCAATGGTAAAGCACTTACCTAGCATGCAAGAGACCTTGGATTCCATCCCTAGCAGCGCGCGAGCACACACACACACACACACACACACAGACACACACAAAGATTTGAAAAGCAAGAATCAAATAAAAACATAGAGCACTGAATTATTTAGACACAAACATTTATGTATGTTCCTAGCCTTTCTTTGTTGCTTACATCATTAACATTGACTTCTGGTAATTGGCTTAAAGGTTAGAGTTCTGGGAATTATGTTTGAATCACTAATGCAATTGATATGTATATATTTATGTAACTGACAGTTAAATAATTATTATAAAGGATTAATGTAGTGATTGATAGATAAGCTCCATGTAAACATAAAGAAGTTGATTCATAAGCATTTAATGAAAAGACTATATAAAGATCATAGAAATCCTCCTGCTTATCCTGGGAAGGATGTATTTGTACATGTGCCTACCTCTTTGCACTTGGTAAGAAGACAGAGTATCACATTTTTTCATTTCTTTCTCCTCAGGAATAATTCCAGCTAATGGGAGGATGGATGTGACTATAAAGTTCACACCCTTTCAGTATGGCACTGCACAAATAAAAATGCAGTTATGGATTTCACAGTTCAACTCTCAGCCGTACGAATGCGTCTTCACCGGAACGTGCTATCCCAACCTGGCCTTACCGTATGGCTTCTTTGCAATTTTTTTGTTTATTCTTAAGTTTTTCAAAAACCGAACTCTTCCTTCCATTCTGTCACTCTTTCTTGTAACAGAATGACATCCCAAGCTTGTTTTAAATGATTAGTCTACATAAAGTATGCTTTAAAATGTAACACCAGTGCATAGAATGCCCTGTGCTGGTGGGAGAGTTGCTTCTGCCAAGAGGGGAAGAAATGACTGAGAAAAGAGATTCAGGAGCTGAGGATGTTGGTCAGTGGTACAGCATTTGGCTAGCATGCACAAGGCCCTGGGTTTGATGCAGGGAGGCAATTTTTAAATTTTTGAGGCATACTTTACTGCTGGTCTGCTGTGAGTTTTTGCATACAGTACAGCCAATTAAATCATACAAGGCCAGAATCACTTAACTGTTTTTAAAGTTTCCATATGATGTTACAATTAGCTGAGTGCCTGCTTTGTGCAGTGTCTGTTACAAAGTCCCATGGGAAAAGGCCCACTCCCTGAAAATGCCAAAGTAAGTCAGGTACAATAAGTGATGTCACCCAAGGCAGAGGGAAACATGCCACACAAGGGGGAGGTTTGAAAGAGTAAAGATGGGCAATGAGATTAAGTTTTACTTCATAACATCCTAAAATTTGTTTCCACTTGAATATGTGCTTGTATTTTTATATACCATTACTTCTGGCTAATATTATATTTTTTTCTGACATGTATGATTTGTTTGTTTTTGTTTTTTTGTACCAAGGATTGAACTTGGGACCTTGTGCTTGCAAGGCAGGCGGTGGAACCACCAAGCTAAATCCCTGGCCCTGACATGATCGTTTTTATAAAATAAATATAAAGCAAACATAGCAACAATATAAATACTAATCTTGGAAGATCCTGACAATTATTTTTAAAATGATAAATATTTTGATTTTTCTCCTCTTCCCTTCATACATGGATGCACATCACCTATTAAGCATATTAAAAGTGAAGAAACAATTTAGCCTTAAAAATGAACTAAAGCCATGGCTTATGATATATTTATATCAAGATTTTCTTCCTAAAACTTCAAAACAGTGCAAGTCAATTAGCACATATTAGTGTGGGCTCTTAAATTCAAATCCATCAAGTAACCATTGTAGAAGTAAAATCACCCAGGCAATAAATCAATAGAATTAATACAAACAAAAAGCAGTGCTAATTTTTCTAGTGTCAGATCACTAGGCAAACAAGATACCACTTGCCCTCCTTTGTTAGATGTTGCCACACTCAAGTGAATTTTTCAAAGATATTGCTCAAGTGGGGTATTTTTCTATCTTCCCATAGATGTGTTTTTTTTTATTTAACTTTTTATTTATGGATGCTGAGCACAGAAGCCAGGGCTTCATGCATGCTAAACATTCGCTGTACCACTGAGCCACATGCCCATCCCGGATGTGTTCTGAAATACATGAGAGCACCGTATGGTAGAAATACCATCTCAAATGCAGTAATACACTATTTCTAAGCTGTGATGTTTTTTGTTTCCCAGCTAGGGTTTAATATCTTGATGTTTTCAAGGAGTGTATCTCAACATTTGCATGTTTTCCAAACTGCAAATAGTACTATAACATAAATTTCACCATGAAGGGAAAGTAATTTTGCTGGCTGTAGTCTTCTCTGAAATTTTCTTTTTTTTTTTTCTCTGAAATTTTCATAGACTGCTTTCTTTGTTTCAGTATGGGATGTGTGCCAGACTTACACAAGTCCTAAATTTGACACTGCCACATTCCATGTGTATGTAACTCTTTGGTTTACCATGTTCTTAGGCACTTTTATTTCCTTCTTCATCATTTGCAATGAAAGATCTTTAGGAGACTGTTTTTTGACATCTCCCTGAAAGGCTTTGTTGTTCCCTGATATTTACAGTAGGGGTGCTACCAAAACTCTGCTGAAATACTGATGTTGAACCACTCACTCTCCAGCTAAGCCCTCATCCCAGCACAATGTAGCATGTCAATGAATATGTGTCTCACAAAGGGGCACATCCTCCCATGCCATGGACCTTGGGAGGCTCTTGCAGAGAAGGCTGTTAAATGTGAGATACTTAGCATATGTTCCATGTAATATAACCAGGCCTCTTCAGTGGGTGCTAAGTAAGTGCACACTGTCAGAATGAACACGTGTTAGTATTGTGTGCTTTTCTTACTTCTGTAATGTTATAAGAGTTCATTCTGGAAAACAAGCACACATACATTCTTGTTTAAAGAATACTTCATAGATAGCTTTCCTCAGTATAACATAGTTCTACATCTCCCGTAGGTTATTAGCTACATTCCTTCTATCTATATCCAAGGACAGTTTTCGGTTGCAGGAAAGATCCCTCTTATAGGCTTGAATCTCTATTTTGCAAGGTCTTGCTACCAACAATGAGCACAGTCATTCTTTTACTAGAAAGATAAATCAAAGTAAGATTTTTAATCAATATAGCTGTTGAAAACCAATAGCCTAGAAATGAATTATGCTATATCAGGAGAATGTTTTTCACCATGTCATGTTTTCTACTCATTGTATTCTTTAAGAATGCAATGGAAAACCTCCATCAGGGTTTTGTTTTTTTTTTATGTATAGGAGTATACACTAATATATTGACATTGCATGTTTTTTTTTTTTTTTTTTTTTTGGTACTGGGGATCGAACTTGGGTCCTTGCACTTGCGAGGCAGGCACCAGAACCACTGAGCTAAATCCCCGGCCCCATTGCATCT